AGGTTTGTTCTAGGAGCTCTCTTTCTTCAAGAATTAGACTAAGGGCCTAACTTCTCTTCACATGGTATTAGAGTTTAATACAAAATTTTGACAAAAATAATTATAAACAATTAAAGAGAATGATTCAAAGAATTATTCATAAAAGGCCTATAAACAAAAGTAAACCTTTTTTTCTAATCTATTAAAGGTTTTGAAATACTTAAAATTAAATATTCTTTAAGTTTAAATAATATTAGGCTTGATGACCTCCTGGGAAGTCTAAAATTAAGATAGGATGGCAAAGTTTCCAAGGTGGGGACTCTTGGAATGAAAAAATGCCCTTCTTTATAACAACATTGATCAATATAATGAGTGGTAAAATGATGATATCAATCAATACAAATTGTAAGATCTAGATGCCAGGGCAATTAGAGCTTTAAGAGGAGGCTTTAGCCCAAGAGATTCTAGCCATGTTATAGATCAAGAGTTTAATGTTATCTTTTTTAACTTGTGCCATGAAATTTCATTTTCAATATATCAAGAAAATTCCCAACATCACCCAGTAGCAGATTTTTGCTGAACAAGAAGACCATTGTAGGCAAAGGCAATACTGCTGAGCAGGAAGGGATTGCCATTATGACTTGTGACAATCAACAAACACAAGAAGGGCACTCATTATTTTTAATCAACTTAGAAACAAGCATTCCAACAACACAGAGGAAAAACCATGCAAAACGTAGGCACCTAAGCAAGGATTGTCCTATGAAGAAGCAATGCTGAGAGGCAAAGTTGAAAGTTAGATGTGGATCTTCCTTCAGTGTGGCACCACATTTAAGAGTCAATGCCGAGACAATGGTAATGGTGAAGACTCTTCTGCTGCATCCAACAGCTTGTTATGGATGGCTCAAGGAGTAGACTTGGACACCACTAGCCTTCTTTGGCTAGATTTAGCAGTAACGAATCACTGAACTTTCAACCATGAGCTATTTTTGGAGTTGAGCAATGGGTAATAGCTTATTAACAGTTGAAGGTGTAGACACAATTCAAGTGTGACTTCTAACAGGCTTTGTGGTTCCAATCAATGACAGAGTAGCACAAGAGGCGAGTTGGCTTCATGACCTTGTAGCAAGTATGCAACTGAGGTAACATGGACCTACGGTAATTCTTTCAGATAATTCTTTGCTGTTGCTTGCTCTAGGAGTGTTTAGCTTCTCTTCACAACCATGACGTGATAGCTACAAAACTCAAATCAAGAGAAAGCTTCTCTTCTCTTCTTCTCTCTTTTGCAAAGCACACAAGCTCTTCTGGCCAAATCCTTTGACATTGCCAGGGAAACCATACATAGCAGATGATTTGACACCTGAGCCTCTTTATAAAGTTCCCAGATACTGCCACGAGCATAGGTCCCTTGCTCATGCGCACCACTAAGGCAAAGAGATCCACAAACAGGCTTCCAGGAGCAAGCTGCAGCTCTTGTACTGGTAGTAGCTTTGGAGCTCCGGAAGAGAATGCCAAACCGAGATGTGGTCTCCCGGGCGTCTGCGATCTCAGCTCGGCGATGGAGAGCGACCTTTGCTGCTTCTCCCGGATGCAGAGCCTTCGTCGCCGTATTGAAAGCTTGTACCGCTCTAGCGACGTTCGGCAAGGTGGTGAAATGACTTCAAAGAGCTCGAAGGTTGTCTCGGACACCATATTCCTGTTCGTCATTCTTGTCGAAGACCCGGTGACCGTCGGTCATACTTCTGGTGATATCCGAGCTTCGGCTATGAAGAACAGTGGCAGTATAGCTCGAGTTCTTCTCAGCTTTTCTCTCCATTCTCACGGCTTGTAGCCACTCGAACTTACTCTCGCTCAGAAATTTGGCATCTCCTCCAGCTATCTTGGTGTCTCACAGCCGACTATATTCCCGAAAAGCACCAGGCTCGACGCATCAGCTCTCCCCTCCAGGCGCTCCAGGGACTGGAAAGCAAGTCGGGCGACTTCTACGTTGTTCCACTTGCGGCAAGCACCCAGCACAGTCTTCCAAGTCACCGCGTTTGCTTCAAACGGCATCGTGGTCGCCACCTTCACTGCCTCGTCCAGACGATTTGCCCGTCCCAGCATGTCCACCACGCAATTGTAGTGACCAACGTCGGGAGCGATCCCAAATCTCGGCACCATCGTCTCGAGCAGAAGCTTCCCTTGGTCGGACAGCCCGGCATGGCTGCAAGCCGTGAGAACCGACGCGAGAGTTATCCCATCCGGCTGGATGCGTTGCTGCTGCATTGCCTGGAAGAGATCAAACACCCGGCGGCTATCTCCCTGGCGGCTGTATCCCGAGATGAGAGCACTCCAAGTCACCAAGTTCCTCGTTGATCCTTCCATGGAGTCGAAGACGCCCTGTGCCTCAACCGGACTGCCACACTTCCCGTAGAAGTCTATCAGCGCGTTGGCCACAAACGTATCACTCTCGGCACGGTGTCTACGAACGTCGTCGTGGATCCTTCGACCAGCTTCGAGTGCTGCCAAGCTCCCGCAAGCCGTCAGTGCTGCTAGAAACGTCCGCCCGTCCGGAGCACAGCCTTGGTTCTCCATCCCCCGGTATAGCTCCACCGCGAGCTCGGGCTCACCGTTCTCGGCGTATCCCCGGATGAGAGCGTTCCAGGCCACCAAGTCGTGCTGTGGCATCCTGTCGAAGATCTGGCGAGCGTCCAGCATGCTTCCACAGCTCGAGTACGTATCAACCAGCGTGCTCACTACGTATCCGTGAGAGTCGAGGTTACTTTTGGAAGCTTGGCAGTGGATAACCATCCCGGTCTTCAGAGAGCCCAGCTTCACAAGTTTTCCATCGACCACCTTGCCTTGTTCCTTCGCTGCGATGCCTGTGCAGGCCATCAGTGCCGAGACGAAAGCCCGATCGTCTGGAGCACAGTTCCTCCGCTGCCTCATCTCTCGAAAAAGCTGGAGAGCAAGCTCGTTCTCCCCGTTTTCCACGCATCCCAGCAGCAAGGAGTTCCACGAGACGACATTGGGACGATTGATCCTGTCGAAGACCGCACCAGCTTCGCTCAGGCAGCCACACTTGGCGTACATGTCCACCAGCGAGCTCGCTACGTACACATCCTTCTCAAATCCCATCTCCGCGGCATGGGAATGAATCGCCACTCCTTTCATTCCTGCGAGCTTTCGTTTGGATCCATGATCCTTCACTGCCAAACGACCACAGGCCATGAGCACAGCGACAAAAGTTCTCGAGTTTGGAAAGCAGCAACTCACAACTTGCATGTGTTCGAAGAGCTCCAGAGCTAACTCCGGATCGTTGTTTTGCACGTATCCTCCAATCAATCCAGTCCAGGACACCACATCGTGTAGCGGCATTCTATCAAACACCCTCCGCAGATCCATCACGCTGCCACACTTCGCGTACATCTCAATCAGCGAGCTTGCCAAGAACAAATCAAATGAGAACGCACGACACTTCGCTACTTTAGAATGAATAGCCATACCTTTCTCCAGAGAGACAACCTTGACGATCATCCCATGGAAATCCTTCGAGCATCCCTCTCGCTCTGCCAAACTCGAGCACGCCACCACCGCCGCGAGAAACGCCCGCCCATCCGGCCGGCAATCCATCCTCTCAAACAGCTCCAGAGCCAGCTCCGGCAAGCCATTCGTGGCGTACCCCAGGATCAACGCCGTCCAGGGCACCGCATTCTTGAAAGGAATGGCATCAAAGACCTTGCGGGCATCCGGCATGCTCCCGGATCTGGCGTACATGGCAATGAGACTGCTGGCGACCCTGATGCTGGCGAGACTTCCAGATTTCGCTGCCTGATCGTGCAATCGCTTGCCGCGATCGATATCGCGGCATTCCCGGAGCGCCCCAAGCAATGCCACCATAGTATTCCTGCTCACCGCCATAACTCTGCTCATAAACCCTAAATCCTTATTTCCTATGGAGAAGAATAAAGGAGGAGGATAAATTTTAACCATAGGAGTGTAATGATAATAATAGTATTAAACAGAATGTATGGTCCATTTGACAGAGTCCGTTTAATCCTCGGCCGAGCCCTAAAGCGAGGGAAGAAGTAGCGGCCATTAGGGTTTGAGTTTGGGGAAAGAATCCCAGTTTAGGGGTTTAGGTCGGAGCACTCCAGCTCGTTCGCCGTCGGCCGGCGCCGCGTCTGTCATCGAATCGAGGTAAGCAGCGCCATCGTCTAGCAATGTCGCGGCGATCGACCGTATTTTCGTGTTTTCCCTCCACAGGAATGGCGCTGGAGGTCACGCCGATTCTTCTCAATGCGCAGTCCGCCGATAAGGATGTGCGCAAGTTCGCCGAGGACAATCTCAAGCAGTTTGAGGAGCAAAATCTGCCGCTGTTCCTCGTCTCCCTCTCGATCGAGCTCGCCAACAGCGCCAAGCCGGCAGAGAGCCGCCGGCTAGCGGGCCTGATCCTCAAGAACTCGCTCGATGCCAAGGATGCGCAGAGAAAGCACGAGCTGGCCCAAAAGTGGCTG